CGCCTGTGGTCCCAGCTACTTGGGAGGCGGAGGCAGGAGACTCGCTTGAGCCCAGGAGTTGGAGGTTGCTGTGAACTGTAATGCCACGGCACTCTGCCCAGGGGGACAGCTTGAGCCTCTGTCTCAAAAATAAATAAATAAATAAAAATAAAAATAAAAAAAAGTTATACCTCCCATGTACCCTTTCTCAAAGCTACTAGAAAAAGTATTCCACCAAAATGTCCAGCAGCCCAAAGAAGAACACAAGAAGACACAGAATACAGGAGGGAAAAGAGGCAACAGAGGAGAACTATGAAGGAAGATTCTAGAAAGACATCTCTCAGACCACCTAAAAACAAGCAGCCCTGACCACAGCAGAACAACAGAGGGACATCTCCAAGGAATAAAAGGGAACAGATTACTTATCGCAACAGCACTGAGAAGAATTTCATGACTCTAGTGGTGTGGGGATGAATTAGTGATAGGTAGAGAGAAAACCGAAGGAAAAACATGGTAATGATAAGCTTCAAAACAATAAAGTTTTACAAGAAAGGAAATAAAATCAGAGTATATTAGTTGAACTCAGCTATAAACGTGGCAGTAATAAACCTTAAATAGGTCCAGCCCCAAATGGTATCAAAATGACGACACAGGAGGCTGCTGAAAGCAGAAGTCAACGTGTCCATGGATGCAGGTGCTGCTAAAGACAAAGTATAGAAAACTAAATTCTCATCTTCCCAAGCAGGATGTCCTCAAAGTCTAAAAACTGAAAAACCAATAAATATCAAAGAATATTGAGAAATATACAGATAAGTACTAAAAGAGTGAGCTATGGCTGGGTGCAACAGCTCACACCTGTAATCCCAGCACTTTGGGAGGCCAGGGTAGAAGGATCATTTGAAGCCAAGAGTTCAAGACCAGCCTGGGTAACATAGCAAGACTCAGTCCCAAAAAATAAAAAATAAAAATTAGACAGCATGTGTTGCACACCTGTAGTCCAAGCTACTTGGGAGGTTGAGGAAGGAGAACTACTTGAGCCCAGGAAGTTTTAAGTTACAGTGAGATATGACTTATGTACTGCACTCCAGCCCGGACAACAAAGAGAGGCCTTGTCCCTTTAAAAAAAAAAAAAAAAAAAAGAACTGGCTCAGTGCCTTGTAGCTCAGCACCTAAGGCGTCAGCCACAGACACATACACTGAGGCTGGAGAGTTTAAACCCAGCCCAGGCCAGCTAAACAATGACAACCGCAACAAAAAATAGATGGGCATTGTGGCGGGCGCCTGTAGTCCCAGCTATTTGAGGGGCTGAGGCAAGAGAATCACTTAAGCCCAAGAGTTTGAGGTTGCTATGAGCTGTGATGCCACAGCACTCTACCCAGGGCGACAGCTTGAGATTCCGTCTTTAAAAAAAAAAAAAAAGCTAAAAGATGAGGAGGGGCTGCCTAGGGAGCAGAGGAGCAGTAGTAAAGCATGGGCAGAGACATTTTCCCCCCAGTTATAAGCTATGTTAAAAGCCACCAATTTACCACTAGCTTCCCTCCAATATCGTCCTTCTCTTCTTCTCTAGCAACAGTTTACCTAGGTGTAATTCTGCCCAATTAATTCTGAAGATTAATTTTCCAGACTCTCTTGTAGCAGGTGTTAACTAAGTTTCTAGACTCCAGTCAATGTGCATGAGTAGATACAATGTGTACAACTTCTGAGCTAACTTGTTAAGAGGAAGGCAACAGGCTCACCAGTAGCACAGTGGTTAAGGCACCCAGCCCGGGTCTGCTAAACAACAACGACAACTGTAACAAAAAAATATCCAGGCATTGTGATGGGCACCTGTAGTCCCAGCTACTTGGGAGGCAAGAGAATCACTTAAGACCAAGACCAAGAGTTTGAGGTTGCTGTGAGCTGTGACGTCACAGCACTCTGCCAAGGGTGACATAATGAGACTCTATCTCAAAAAACAAAAAAAAGGAATACACTTTCTTCTTCTCTTCTCCCTACTGGCCAGAATGTCAATGTAACAAACTGAGTCCTCCCAGAATAGCCATCTATCTCACACAGTGGTTACAGCATTGGCCACATACACCTAGGCTGGCAGGTTCAAACCCAGCCCTGGGCCAGCTAAACGACAATGACAACTGCAACAAAAAAATAGGTGGGCATTGTGGCAGGTGCCTGTAGTCCCAGTTCTGGGAAGGCTAAGGCAATAGAATCACTTGAGCCCAAGAGTTTGAGGTTGCTGTGAGCTGTGACACCACAGCACTCTACCAAGGGCAGCATGGTGAGACTCTGTCTCAAAAAATAAATAAATAAATAAATAAATAAA